GGCTATGGGACTGATGGACAGTGGCAGAGCAGTTGACGTCATCTACCTGGACTTGTGCAAGGCATTCGACACTGTCCCACAAGACATCCTTGTGTCTAAACTGGAGAGACACCAATCTGATGGATGGACAACTCGGTGGATAAAAAATTGGCTGGATGGCCACAGAGAGCTGTCCCTGCGGAGACTGGTGATGAGCGGTGTCCCTCAGGGGTCAGTGTGGGGACCGATATTGTTCAATATCTTTGTCGGTGACATGGACAGTGGGACTGATGCACCCTCAGCAAGTTTGCCAATGCGGTTGATACGCTGGAGGGAAGGGATGGCATCCAGAGGGACCTGGACACACTTGTGAGGTGGGCTGATGCCAACCTCATGAAGTTCAAACAAGCCAAGTGCAAGGTCCTGCATGTGGGTTGGAGCAATCCCAGGCACAGCTACAAGTTGAGAGGAGAAGAGATTCAGAGCAGCCCTGCGGAGAAGGACTTGGGGGTATTGGCTGATGAGAAGCTTAACTTGAGCCAGCTTCACTGTGCACTTGCAGCCCAGAAAGCCAACCGTATCCTGGGCTGTATCAAAAGAAGCATGACCAGAAGGTCAAAGGAGGTGATCCTGCCCCTCTACTCTGCTCTTGTGATACCCCACTTGGAGTATTGTGTCCAGTTCTGGTGTCCTCAACATAAAAAGGACATGGAGCTGTTGGAGCAAGTCCAGAGGAGGGCCACGAGGATGATAAGGGGGCTGGAGCACCTCCCGTACGAAGACAGGCTGAGAAAGTTGGGGCTGTTCAGCCTGGAGAAGAGAAGGCTGCGTGGAGACCTCATAGCAGCCTTCCAGTATCTGAAGGGGGCCTATAAGGATGCTGGGCCTGGACTCTTCATTAGGGACTGCAGTGGTAGGACAAGGGGTAATGAGTTCAAACTTAAACAGGGGAAGTTCAGTTTAGATATAAGGAAGTTCTTTACTCTTAGGGTGGTGAGGCACTGGAATGGGTTGCCCAAAGAAGTGGTAAATCCTCCGTTCCTGTGGTGTTCAAGGCCAGGTTGGTCAGAGCCTTGGGCGACATGGTTTAGTGTGAAGTGTCCCTGCCTGTGGCAGGGAGCTTGGAACTGATCTTAAGGTCCCTTCTAACCCAAACCATCCTGTGATTCTGCAATTCTATGACTGTGGAGGGGTAGGAGCCTCTTATGCCAGGTAACTGTCTGTTGGGAGTGGATTTAGCTGTGAGCCAAGGAAGGTCCTGCAGTCACTGTTAGTTCTGACCTTCTGAGACAAATTCTGTAACCTGGAAGGATCACCATGTCTTCCTTCTTATAAACCCCTATCTACAATGTGGCCAGTCAGTTCAAGGAGAATTTTGCAGAGAAGAGAGTCAGCACACTTCTCCAGCCTCTAGAGAAAACATAGAGGACCTGTACATGTTCTAGAGGGGGCTCATGTCTTGTAAAGGAAGAATATTCTACATACATCAATACTACATATATATCTGTACTAAATATACATATACACAGAATACTCTACATCACTACTACTATAATAAAAACTTAAAAGGTCCAACCATTTCAGTTAAGAGACCATGTGTCTTGCAAACATACAGAGTTGAAACACAAAAGTGGTCATAAAATGGCACAGTATAAATATATTTTTTATTTTAGGCACTACTAAGTGCAAAATAATACTAAGAAATTATTTTTACAGTCACAGTATCACACACATTATTAAGTAAATGGTACACTTTTTTATTCAAGTAATCCATCACATCCCAAAAGCAGCAGTCTGCAGCTCCTTCTGATGTAAACAGCAGCTATAAGAGCGGTGTATGTTGGAAGAAGCTGGGACAATTTATACAGATCCTTAGCTTTTGGACAAGACTTCTTTATCACAGACAGACAGAGAGCAAGAGATGATTAGTCTGCAGTTTCCAATTACAAAGCACCACTTGTGCTGGCAAACATTTTAAGCACAAGGAAGAAAAATGTAAATTCAATTACACTTCCAAGGCAGAGATTATCAGAAGGTTATGCCATTTTTGACACTTTCAACTCCAACTGGGCCTGAAGTGTTTGTTGTTTAAATGCCTAAACTACACTCCTGAAGGACTGAAACAGGATTAAAAACTACATGACACAACTATATTAAACAACCTTTCAAAACATTCCCCGGACCAGAAATGTCAGAACTGGACATAGGCAATATTATTGTCTGTGTCTTACAGACAGTATTATTGTCTTTAAGAAGCTGCAGGTGCTCTATGACAGAGCAGACTGGCACTGGATTGTTGCCTTTTACATCACCACACAACTGTAACAAATACAAAATTCAATTTCATATCAATAAGCAGTGTTCCTTTGATTTCAGATTGCCCTCACGAAGTAGCACAGGCGATTCCTGTAGGAGGCATATAGGCAACTCCTACATGAAGCAAAACCAACCTTATTTCTTGAGACTGAATAAGAGAACTAATCCTCCTTACTCCCTCTGCACTGATAAACACTGCCAGAGCAGTAAGCGAGACAGAAAGAGTATTCCTGTGCTCAGGAGACAGAACACCTACAGTTTAAGAACAGACTCTGAGCTTTTGTCCTGGGAATAAACAGGCTCCTCACCCCCGTACAGTCTCTTAATGAGAGCTGCCCAGAGCAGTGCTAAAGCAACACTTACAAAAATAACACGGGAATGCACAGATGTGTTGAAACTGCACTTTCATGTTACTATTTTTATGTGTGTGCCCTGGGACAACACCACCCCAGCACACAATGCACAAGTATGTTCTTGGGAAAGAAGTCTCCTGACAGAAAAAGCACTTTGTGACTCTTCCAGGAACGACAAAATGCTCTTCTGCCTAGCCACTGCAGTGCTCGTTCTGCAAAACCGCAAGTTACTCTTCTTGAAGTTTTTCTGTTGCAGCTCAGAGAAAATTTTGCTTTGCAATGCTTACCACATCTTTGTTGGTCAATGCCTTGGGGTCGTCAATGTTGTTTCTCAGCAGGTGACAAGCAGAAAGCATCTTTTCACTTAGTTCATATCTGAGAAAGACAGCAGAATAGATGGCATATTTCAATTTTTCTCCTGATGTTTCAGCATAGAAACATTCACCGTTCTGAAAGTTGCGTGGGAATGAATGTTCCCACGCAAGTCACCAGCTGCTGCAACGCAGGGATTCACTCTACAGCGAGCAGAGATGTACTCAGGAGGAGCAGCGGGAACAGAGAGAAGGTGACACATCACTTCTATGCTTTAGACTTGGCAACGCTTCTAGTGGAAATTCTCACCTACTGCTGTATGACTGCAGAGCATGTACTGCATACCCTGTGCTTTGATTACTTGATTAACTTGAGGAAATACTAATAGTTCTAATGGAAATTAAATTAACTGGTGGGAAAGGACACAGTCAGTGCCTTCCACCAGATCCCGCTCACTGGAACCAGCCTTTTTCATCCCTTCCACTCTGGAAATTCAATCACTTTCTTCAGTCCCCTTTCATATTTTCACTTCTGCCCTCTTTCCATCACAAATTTCAAAACTCAAGGAAAAGCTGAAAACGAGAAGGCCCAGGCCCATGCCAACACCAGGCTATGGCCAACATGCCACAGATAATGGCAACTTCCCTAGAAAGATCTCCAGGAAACAGATTGCCTAACATACTCATGTGTGTATGGCAGGCATTTTAGCCCTCCAGGCTTACAAGCCAGCTGCTGGTGCTTCCAGAGCAATGAAATACTCCACTATCACATGGATTATGCTCAGTCCCACATGGCCATGCACCCTGCCTCCTCCCCTTGGAGAGCACTGCTGGGACAGCCAGCTTGCAAAGAACATGCTCCCCAGGTATACATGGCTCTATAAGCTGTCCTGCTGCTCCTCCTCACGCTCACCTCTTGCTAAGGTAAATAAAAATTGGAGAGCTCCTCTGAGAAAGTGACCATCTTTTTATGCCACCTGTAAAATAACAGGCCATCCTACAGTACTGTATAAATAAAGCTCAGGGCACATCAAAACTCACAGCTCCAAGGCCTATGAATAGCTCTTAATCATTAATTTCTGCATGTCTTTTATTTAGCAGTTGATAACTACAGATAAGTTTGATGCTAAGCTTACGTCCAGTGAAACACGACATTTTAATTTTGTCTGAGCTGTTTTACTGTTGTTATTCCACTTTTTTTTAAGGTAATTTTCTAATTACCTTCATTTCTAATATAGGTAATTTCTGATTTCTTTTAGGTAATTTTCTAAGCTAATACAGTTGTAAACATCTGGCAAAACCAGTATAATATCCCTTCATTATCTTTGTTTATACTTTCTTTAGTCCATTCACTAATCAAGAATCAGTAAAAACTCAGTACACTACTGCTTTCCATACACAAAAAAACCAAATGCCTTGCCTGTTAAATGCTACCCAACACAGGTCATTACCAGCAATCTGAAAAGTAACTTAGACATGAAATGTTGAAACTATGGTGTGAGAGCAGCCTTAAAGCTGCTTAAAGTATATGATCTCAGGATTGGATGCCCTTCTTGCTGCTGTACCCCACCGTCTTATCGAACAGCACCAGGCACGGCTGAGATAATGTGAAAGGTGCAACTGCAAGATGCACTCCCAGCAGGCTGCTGAACTGTGTATGGTTCAAGACTCATTTGCTTGCTTATTTACTGTTTTACAGACCAGACATTGCATGCTCCCAAACAAGTGCTGTTTGTGACCTGTGAGAGCCCCTGCTGTGGGGGAGCCATCTGGGTCTCCTTATAAATGGGCCATTTAAGGCTGCTGGGGTCAGCCACTGGAAAGGACACTCCTCTGACACCTTCTCCCTGCTCACATATGGTTGTTTTACCATTAAACCACCTCTGGTACCTGCTTAAGGAGCAGGGAAGCAGGCAGCAGTCAAGTAGCGATGGGACTGGTGCTTTCTTTACCAGCACTGGCACAGCCCATGGCTTGCTCCACACAACAAGGCAGCGTAACACCCTCAGAAGCACTCGGGAGAGGGTGAGCAGCCTACCTCTCTCTGATTTCCACCTCTTCAGCCTCACACTCTTGGGAGGTGCTGTCCTTCTCTGGCCCCATGGTGCAAACCTGAGGAGCGTGGGGTGCAGGCTGCCCATCCTCCGTGTGCCGGCTGTGGGGATACTCGTGGCCCTCGCAATCCTCCTCCGAATCTGAGGAGGAGCTCTCCTCGGAGCTCGAGTCATCACTCGATGTCGTCTCATACCTGGGGGGAGATTGGGCAGGGGCAGGGTGCTTGCTCAGTGGCATTCACCAGCAGTTGGTACCCACCTGCACTGGTGCAAGTTGAAAAATACCCTGCCAAGGCTTAGTCCTGCTGTTTTCTACTCAAGAGACCTTTTCTACTTACTGAACTCAGTGTCAGTGCCAGCTGACAGTGATTTTTATGGGCACAGTGTGTAATGAGAGAACAACCTTTTTTAAACAGAACTCCTAACACACTGTCTGACCTTGCCTTAGCCCCAAAGTAAAACTATTTTGTTCAGAGTAAATTGTGTTTTGCCTTACTATGCAGATATAAGCAGGGAAGCTAACAAGCCTATCTAAAGGTAACAGCCACAATTTCAACATGTTTTCCGGTGACAATCGAAAACACTCTGGTATTTTAGGTCAATGTAAGTGATCTGGACAATTACAATGCTGATTCTAATGAATTGTCTTATGTAACCAACCTCAGCAGCTGGTGAATGAATGAACTAAGCTTATTCTTCTCATGTACAACTGTGATTTATGAGTAATAACATTCTCCCATTGTAAGTAGTAATACTTTTAGTCGCTATGTATGAAATGAAGTAATTGTGATTATTTAGGCTATATACTGCACAATGCATTTGTATTAAAGACAATAATCTGAGGAAACGGCTAGAAAAGCTATGTAAAAACAATCTGGTGAAACCATTTTTGAGTTACTTGCAACATTCTCTACTGTTTTCTGTATTTGTGTAGCAAAGTTTCAGTATTTATCTAGGGCAAATCTAGAACAGGCCAAAGCTATCTTTATGCTTCTGGGCTCCTCCTATCCTTCCTGCTGTGAAAGTGCTACAGATATTTTAGAGACACGTCTCTTACCCGCCATTAATGCCTACAAACTGCAGGTTCTTCTTGGTGTTGCTCAAATCCTTCTTCCCGTCTCTTTTCTTCATGATAGATTTGAGTGTGTTTTCATTATTAGTACATACTGTTGAAAATGGAGACAAAGCACAGGCATCAATACAAATCTGTAGCTGGCTTTGACTGCATCAGCTTTAGACAAACAGCTTTCTGTTTAATTTACGAACTGAAGCTGAGATTTCTGATTTTTTTTATACATGCAGTCATACTGTGAGATGTACATTGGAAATACAGAAGAATGCTTCCAAGAACAACTCCAGAAACAGAAAACTAGTCTTCCAACATGCTGCTAATCTTTATGCTTTAGAAAACTCTAAGAAAACACATTTCTTTGTTTTGTGGGTTTTGGGTTTTTTTCTTTGTTATTTTGAAAGACTTCTAATGTTGAAATGAGTTACTCTGTCCTGTTAAAACCTTAATTCTTGGTGTCAGATGACAGCAGCTCAATTGCCAGAACTAATGCATTGGTACAGACAGTGCACTTAACAGTAACCTATTCAACAGGGTGGGGAGGTTCAATCAAGTCTGGTCTTTTCGATTTCAGGAGTCACTGAACCAATTGTTAAACTAATTTTTAAGCATGAGAAAAGTATAACATTCATATGAATTTAAGTCTAAAAAAAAGTTATTACCCCTCTCTCAGTACATTTTTCTCATGAAGACACTAAATGGCATTTCACTGATGCACTACAATCTGCCGTTTAAAAACTAACCAGGGTCTTGCACTGTGAATTTCCCCATGGCCACATCTTTCTCTGCTTTCACAATTTTGAGAACCCTGAAAACGTCTTTTAACTGTATTTCACACTCAAACTCCATCAGCATGATGAAAGGTGAATCTGAGCTAGTTATTACCATAGAGGCCAGAAGCAAGCTGGTCATCTGTCAGGTTAAGTGGAGCGAGAGTTTTGTCCTGAGAAGAAAAGGACTTCCTTCCGCGAACAGCCTCCACCAAGGGAGTCTTCCTTTCCTCATGTGCGGGCACAGTGTCCTGCTCCAACTTCAATGTTCGCAAATTGGAAGTTAAGTGGGTGTTTGCAAGTTGGCCATGAGGGATGTACTCCAAAGTAGCACCTGCCAGAGAAGACAGCAGGCATCACAGAGGAGTAAGACCAAAAACATATCCATCAGTGTTGTAGTAATAGGGGGGAAAAAAAAAAAAACTGGAAAGAAATGGGCAACAGTCATGCTTTACAATACTCTTTCCGAGGGTCCAATAGGAAAAGGGTGTGATCACCTTCAGAACATAAGAAAAAAAAGCTGTGAGTTTTTCTTTCCATGAAAATATACAATACAAGGAAAAACTGCACAGATATTTGCTTTAAAACGGATGAAAGTAATGGTCTTTCCTTTTCCTTCTCTTTCGGTATATGCAGTGACCCCAGCTCCTGCCACCCTGCCTCAGTGTGGACTCGCTGACGTGCCTGAAGAGCATGTTCATGGGCTCCGCGGGTTCCTTCTCCCAAGCACTTTTTATCTTACTTGTTTTTAAGAAACTGCATTTCCCATAAAAGCAGAAACTTTTCAGGAAACCTTCCTTTTTGCCAACATTCCACTAATTCTAAAAGTTATATACTTTATCCAGTTACTGAGACAACTCCAATAAACTACCACCCACTGCATTTCTTTTTTCTTTCTTTTCTCCTTTTCCCTTTTTTACAGGATTGTACTAAGCTAGTGGTTGTTTTTAAATCAAATTCCAATGTTTGGGTTATTTTTTTTTCTCATTTACTGGCATCCACTCATTTTTCCCCATTGTATGTTTAAAAGGCAGTGCTAATTACACACAGACTTTTACACATTCCCCTGGAGTTCCTCCCGCTGTGCTATTACAACTGCTCTACAAAGCTGCACAAACACTTTTGTTTGTGGAACACAGTGGGGTTTTTTTTACACACACATCTTCCTCAAGTGCTAGCATTTCAAGTATAAAAAAGATAATGTTTAAATTTAAACACTACCACTTCTTTCAAAGCTTGCTTCAATCACTTGTGCCTCCATAACTTTTTTCCCTTTGTATTTATCAAGAATTAAGCCATACATACTAGACAAGTGGCACTGCACAAGATACTAACACAGCATAGTAAGGTAAATTCCAATATTCACTTCTAGAAATACAGCAGACATCTTTATTGCTCTTGCTATACTGCCTTTCTCCCTTCTTGCTTCACCTCAGTACTTTCCCCTATAACAGGACATGATGAAGCTGATTTTTCCAAACATTACCACTTCTCAGAAGCTTCCTTCTCTTTGCTCCTGTTCCCACCCAAGTCGCTAAGTTTCCAACTGCGTCTTACTACACACACATTTCCAAGGTGCCTTCTCCAGCAATGACACCTCATTGCTCACTTCCACCATTGCTTATAGCTTCTCCAAGCTACAGGGGGAAGCTGCCTGCTAGGAAAGGCACACAGCAGGGTACTGACAGACATGTCACTACAGATACAGCCAAAACCTCCTGCCCTGTCAAGGAAGCAGGGGGCGAAAGCATCAGCCACCCCAGTGCCTCTCATGCAGGAGCAACCCTTCTAGAGACATGCCTGCACACTTGGGACGAAACATGCACCCATGGAAAGCAAGAGAGAAGTCCCGCCCTTGCTCCCCCATCTCTCCTTGCTTCACAGCAGTGACAGGTTTCGGTCATGTCTCTTCCCAACAGCGAGCGCCATCCCTCATCCACCAGCCAAGGAGAAGAGGGCTGCCAAGGTGATGGAGCGCCGAGCCAAGAACAATGATTTTTCAACTCCCTTAGCTGAAAAACAAGGAAACCGTCTCTCCCTCTGCTTGCTTGGAGCAGTGACAGCTACAATTAGAGAGTACCAAGTGGAGTAACTGCTTCCAACTGCCGCTGGTGGTGGCTGCCTCAGCTGGTTTTACCAGGTCACCCCTTCTGCTTCTGCATTGCCACCAAGGACACAGAGAGAGAGTGGAGGAAACCTGCTTTGGAGGAGCAGAGACATGCAAAACCTCCAAAGCTGCCCGGGTTTACGGTCAGGTTTAGAGTCTCTCTGTCCTCTGCCAGGCATCACAGCCCTCCTCCAAAGGAGCTGAGATAACCACAGTGTGTCCTGGGGACACGGGTGGGATTGAGCATACCGGTGCTGAGGGCAGCCGGCAGAGCAGTGAACTGATGGTACATTGGTGAGCCCCATTATCCCCTGCCTTCAGCAATGCTCAGACACCCAGAGCCAGAGTCTGACCCTCCTCAGGTGTCTCCCTTCTGCCGTGGGACAGCTGGGAAGGGAGCTGCAGGGCAGGACAAAGGAGAAAGACAGAAGCAGACTTTTCTTCCCTGCCTCACGGCCTCTCTCCTAGCTAAACTTGCCACCAATGAGAAAAGATCTCAGTAGTTTACCTCTCCTGGTTCATCCAGCACACTGAGTTCAGGGTCTGGGACATGTGGTCCCTGCCCTGCCTTCAAACTAAGACGAAAAGGTGTGTCCTCCTCAGCCCCCAGAACCTGACAGAAGAGGAAGACATCAGGGCTTGAGGACCAGCACACAGCAAACAACTGTGCCTTAGACAAACTGGCCAGTACACTCATTCTCCCACTACAGCTGTAGATACCTACGCTTGCTGTGTCTACTGTACCCGAGGTTCAAGGAAAGGCAGCTTTGGTCCCAACTCAGGCATTCCCTTTTACAAGACAGCCAAAATAGAGAAGCTTAGGGAGTAGCAACCTAGTGCAAATCACTTGGAAAAGTGGATGAAGGAAGCAGCTGTGCTACCCAACACTACATTCAATGATTTAACAGGTTCACCTGCTGCTGACCAAACCAAAAAGCTGGCTGAGCCAAATCCTCTCATCTTTTGACAAGGCTGCAGATCTGCTCTAAGAGTTGAGATGCTGCACGCTTCTCACGTGTGGAAATGAAACCCTGGCTGAAGATCACCACCAGTCTACACAGACCTTAAAATAGACTCTCCATCTCACCTCACACGGATCTCAAGTATGCTTCCACAGGATCCTTCTCAGTGACACTGGGTTATGGGGCACAACACCAACAGTAAATCAGTCAAAAGGTTCAGCACTTAGCCAGCCGCTGCCTCAAGTCGCAGCCAATCAGGTAGATTCACCCTGCAGATTTTTGTTAGTTTACTGCTGTGGGCAAATAATGCAAACTTGATGTTAAGTTTCTAAGTGTTGATATAGCATAGTTAAGTACAATGTGGAGCTGCAGAATTTCTACATGTGTTTTACAATATAGTAGGAGATCTTGGAAAAGTTCACTAGTAATTTAGAAGCAGGAGCATGGTAAGACAGAACATAGAACTTACAGACTTAACGGTTCATAAATCCTTATGCAGAAAGCTACTTTTCATGAATTTCAGAACGAAACAAGTGATGGGAGCATCTTCAGTAGCTTAGCTGCAGTGGCTTGAGGGAAGGAGAGCATCTGGGTTTAATTTTTTAGAAGGAATCTCTTCTCCTAAGTCACTTGTGTTTCTTTTGAAATCTCACCAGTTTAAACCAGGGTGACAGCAAAACTACTATACATCAGCAGCAGATCACCCATGCCACTTCTGGCACCGATTAAATCCATTCATTGTTATTAAGATGCTATTACTCTTCCCAAACACAGACCTTCCCTCCCATTTATGAGCACATGAGTAGTCACGTAAATTCACCAGGCAAACTTTAAACAGTATTTTCTTCCCCTGAATTCCTGTTGAACTCGTGATAACAGAAGTCTAGCCTTTTTTACCTGCTTTTGAAAAATTCCATTAATCTGATAGAAGCAAACCTAAGTATACTGTAAAAATGATTTAACTTGACAGAAAAATTTAAACCACTGGAAACAGAGGCACGAACTAAGCCAGGGGAATTAAATACCATCAGGATGAGAACCTAGCTCTCTGGCTGGAACATCACAGGCTTCTAGCTAAAAAAAGGGCACAAGATTGCTGCCCATCTGCTAGCTACAGAAAGATCTTATTTTTAACCTGTTGATCAGTGCAAGCATTTATTCGCACAATATGTTTGTAACAACGAATCATACAGCTTATACACTCCCTGTTAAAGACAGGGCATAAATGTTGTCTGGAGCATGTACAGCAAGGAAATACTTCTTTCACATGGAATGGTTTCTTCACAGTAGCAACAAGCTCCCTAGAAATTGCTGTAACTGAAGAACACAGACTGTTCTCCAGTGGTCTTAAATTTTATTAAGTTGCTTTACACTTAAAAATTTATCTTTTTCATCTAAATAATTTTTAATCCGCTTTCCACTTGGTCTACATATCAGAACTATTGAAGGAAAAAAACCATTCTACTAAGGTAAATAAAAAGGCAGTGATGAGCAAACATAGTAAGTTTAAACATTTACAACAATTGATATTAACCCATCCACCTGATAAATGCGTTACCTTCAGAAGACTAAGCACAGTTTAATTCTAAAAGGTACTCCTGAACAATTCCAGGTCAGAAGACAGTGAATTTGAAATTTCAGAACAAAAAATTGCCACACACAAACTCTTTATATGATAAGCTGACAAAGCCAGATTCACTTGGGGCTCAGGCATAGGCAAATGTTTCAACAACCATTTGGCTCCAGGGAAAATGCTCCTTCTTAGAGGATGGCTCCTTTAATCGGATTGCAAGAATAATCTCAATTTTATTTTCACTCTTGCTTTAACCAATTCCTTTGTGTCGAGAAGCTGCTTTCCAACTCCAAACCAGCTTGTGAAGCCAGTTTACCGAAACTGGAAGTCGAAACCAATTCCTCTAATTGAACAAGACTGAATAAAAAAAAAATTACACGTCTGTGAAGCAGCTGTTCATCTTATTTATGAAATGCTCTCCTTTCCAAGACAACTGCGTGTGAAGCTCAGTGAAAGCTATCCTTAATTTTCCTGATGAGTGATGGATCAAAGCAACTCATGATGCTGGGCAGAGCAGGAAGGTCATCTCAGAGCTTTTCTTTCTTTCTCATTTATGAGGAGTTGCTCTCAACCGATGCTTTGTTGTTGCTGCAATATGACAACACTTACATGGAAAAATGGGAATCTCCTGCCATTAAATATTCATAAATGTGCCTGTTACCATGGGAGTTGAACTCTGAGCAAAGATCAGTGCCTGAATGTCATGTCCCTGGGAACCAGGGTTTTATCAAAGCCACTCTAACAGACAGGGTAGGAGCTGCAGCTTGACACTGTAAGCACCAATAGCTTTGAAAAAATAAAAATTAATCATGCTCCTTATTAACCAAAGCAGAAGTGAGGAGATAGGTGGCACTCCATATATTGCTGCCACAAAATGAAAGCAGCAAATATTCTAATGATAATAATAGTAGTAAGTTTGTGTTAACACATGGAAGGTATGTCAAACCTTTGAAGAGGTTTATGGAGTTTCACTTCAATCATGTCTTTATAGGACAATTACTGACCAGGACTCTGCTTCTCTTCAAATATAACTGGATGGATATTTAAAACTGAAAGAAAACAAAAAAACCACCACCACTAAATGCCTCAGCTCCTAATACAGAGGTTGCTACCATTTTCGAATGACACAGGCATTTGAGCTTTGTAAGTTGTCACAAATAGCAGGTCAACAAATACTACCTGCCATTGGAAAAACACAGATGAGGCACTGTATTCTTTGATGCCAGCCAAACGTGTATAAACAAATCTGGCACACAGATGGGACCATCTGCATGCCTGTTCTGCATAAGGCACTACCTTTCAGGAATTATGAAAAATGCTTCACATATGCCAGTCACTAATGGATCCTGTTTGTTACACAAACAAGCACATCTGTACAGAAACTTAACCTGGTGATTAAAGCATACATCTGTGGCAGAGTTGAAGCTGAGGGCTTCATTCACTTGTCTAGATGTCGACAACCAGTGCGATTTCTAGCTGCCCAGAGCTCTACAGGGTCTACCTCAAACAGCACTGGCACCTGAGGCTAAGGCAAGCCTCAACTCTTCAGCTGCACTAGCATGGTCCATGCTGCCCAGTGAGGGGCTACCAACCAACCAAGCAAATAGTCTTTGAGAGAAGAGGCTACAAACTCTATTGAACAGAAGAGCTCTAAATTAAAAAAAACACCAGCTTTTTCCAATTCCCTGCTGGTTGTGCATTATGAATGACAACACGGAGAGAAACAACCATGGCCACAGTATCTCATTAGTACCACACACCAACATTGGACAACCAGGGGCTTTTCAGACCACCATCATTCCTCCTGTCTGTCCATTGTCCCTCAGCCTGCCACCCCAGATGAAAAGTTGAAAACCCTGAAAGATCTTTCCACCAGATGGCACATAATGTTTTCCTAACCCATGAGACTTTCCTATGTCCCTTGCTTCCCACTCCTGTCACTCCTCAAGTCTTAATTAATTCAAAAAGTTGCCTCCTCCATGATGACCACTAGTGTAATGCTTCCACTGGGGTGCTCAGTCAGGATTGCTCCAAAAGTGACTAAAACTGATAACTTCAAAGATGTCTGAGGCCAAATAGCCATGGATTTTCACGTCAAACACGCTCAGGTAGTATTTCAGTGCAACAGCTGAGGAGTTGTTTTTAAATACCACCCTTGCTAACTCCTTTCCTGTGAAAGGCATTCATCTACAAGACTTGTGAAAAGCCCATACCAGTGCCATTAGGTCTCTGGCTGGTATTTTGCAAAACATATCACACGCGCACTCAGCTGCAACCTTACGAAACTTCCCAAAAAATCTGTGCCAATAAATGGAGAATCTGAATACACTCGCCTCTCTCAGTCCTATATGTTGTCAGGTCTAAGAATAAGGATCAGTTAGCATCCATGTTTGTTGTCCACATCCATACAATCGAGCTGGGCACAGACAGGGTGCAAATGCTGGCAAAAATGGCTTTGCAGAGTGGAAACTGGCTTGACTGACAAGCAGGGTTGATTTCCCTGACATCACTAGGGCTTCGGAAAGACAGTGCCTATGTAAATAGGAGTTGCTTAGTTACATAAGCGAAGGTGTTTATTTTTCAACAAGCAATATACTAATTGCTGATAGACCCAGTACAGAAATCATCTCAGAGGTCCACTCTGCTTGCACCTGGGGATGCCAGCAGCAGAGCCAGCCCGCATTCCATGCAGCAGGCTCCAACTCTCATGCCTGTGTCTCCACTGCCTGCCACAAGCTGCACTGGGGCTGTGAGACATCCCTGCAGCATGCCTCCATCTCCCCAGCACAGGCAGAGATTAAAATCTGTAAAGCTGAGAAAGTGACTGATGTGCTACCTCAAGTGTCAGAAGCAGTATGGACGACTAATCCTTTATCATAGCAGACTGGTATCCAAATCACACGCCTCCAAGCCAGCTCAGTATTTTTGCCCTAAAAAGACCTCTAAGAGGCACTTCCTAAGGATGCTCTTTGAATAAAATATTAAAGACAACACTACCACTGCTAATCTGAAAACAGACACTTCTGCCTGTATTTTCAGTCTGTTTTCCTAAGAAACCGAGGCTTGTGCGAGGTCGTGTTTCTTTCAATAACTTAAACCCGACTGCTCATTTTAACCCTACTGGAGCTATCATGAGGCATTGATCCATGGAATAAAAGAGCTTTATTACTTCAAGTGCTTACAGAATTATTTAAATTAATTAGTGCTTCATTCAGCAAACATCTTTCTACGGAAGAAAAGTAACATATGATCTGTAAAACCACAGGAACAGGCAGCAGGACCAGCAGATAAATGCAGTAAAAGACAGTATTTTTGAAATTAATAGAAAGAGAATGGGAAACACTTCAGGCTTATGACCTCCTTTCCACTCCAATTCTCTATGGGTCTGAACCGTTATAGCCCAGATCTTGATTTACGCACACAGTCCTGGCACGCAGTTCGCACCAGGGCCTAAAAATGCAGAGATTTTACACTCAGTATCCACAGCTAAAGATAATGGCATTGCAAGTTAAAATAAAATTATTCTAGAATAATTTTATCAACAATGCGAAATCTGAATCCAAGTAAGAACATATTTGTAAAATATGATCCGCTGCTCCACCTGTGTCTAAATACTTTAAAATCTCTAGACTACACATTTGATACTGTGTACTAAAAGCAGGGAAAGGAATTGAGGATTCACAGCTAGCAAAAAATCTGGTTCACTGTTTTTAAGGACACTTGTGGTGTCAGCTAGATACTCTTTATTATTATTATTATAGTATCATTACTTGTAAGAAGCCCAAAATACAAAGTGCATACCAGAAATATAATAATATTGCATATGCAGTATCACATTGCATGTATGCAGACAGGATGTCATATGTTTTCTTTATCACTATATAAATGTTGTTTACTGCTTTACTGTGGGAAGCTAAACTTCTACTTCAGCTCATTTAATGGATGGTTCTTTTTAGGGCATGAAAATTGAAAAGAATCAGATTTACCAAGCTGCCTTTTAACAAAAACAGGTAAATTTTAAGACAGTAAATAATCTGCAAGAGCTTTCATACAGCAGTTCATTACCAAGTAATATTATAATGACATTAAATGGTATTTACTCAGGATTATTTTTTTTCCCCAATTCAGCACCCACAACACAGACGAATTTGCACAAGTTTTTCACATTTCTTTAACCTCTTGTTTCAGTCACTGTATGGCAGGACAATGAAGACAGTTATCTAACAGTCACTGCTAGAGCATGACATATTGGTGTCCAGTAAGCCAACATTTTTACATTTAATAGTAATGTGCTTGGATTCACCAATAAGGTATAAGAAAAAAAGGCTAAGTTTTGAACTAAACTATCAGACATCCAAAATTAATAGTAATTAAAAAAAAAAGTAAGCAACTTTACCCCAGGGAATGAAGAAATCCCTCAAATTAATTGTATAAAAAATTATTAAAGTTAATAAATAAATGCAAGGAGTATTTAAATCTCAATTCTTGCCTTTCCTAAGTGTCACCAAAACCTCCAGCAGTAATTACAGCTCGTGTGTTTCAAACATGAGGCTATAATTAGGGATTAGGACAGTTACTGGAACAGAGAAGATGCAAGATGTGGTTTCTGTGAAGTGCTCTGGAGTTGCCCATTACAAAGCAATCAGCCTTGCTTGAATGGGAAGAGCACCCCAGAGGTCTCTGGCACAAGGAATGAAGGCAGTGGAAGAAACATTACAAGACCTAGGGAAATGTCTGTGGAAACAAGTCAGTTTGATATAGATGCTGAATGCAACTTTCAACTCTGTCAAATCTGACACTGTAGATTTAAAAATTGCATGCCAAGTTTAAAGAAAGAACAAAACTCCAAACCCACAGGCATTAACCTTGAATACTCTTAAAGCTACAAGTGAACTCAACACATTGAGCAGTGTGGTCAGACGCTGCACACTTTTAGGTACCTCTCTTGCATGGTCAGAGCCATCATCATCATCACCGTCAAGCCCTCCAGAGCCTGCTGGACTGGGAGAGATTAAATCACTTGTGTTTTCTTCAGTTATCAGTAGTGGGCTGGAGACGGTACCCAAACGGACACGTCCAGCAATGACGTTATGTTCTGCATTTCACTAGGGATGATCACACATCTGTTTCTAGTCTAAGTGAGAGCCGAGGAGGTGACTGACCTGTGGCTCTGGCAAGGAGCCGACCAAACATGTGCCCGGACGCAGAGCTTACCTGACGTGGTGCTTCTCTCCATGCACTGCTTCTGAAGGTCCAGGCTCCGCAGCTCCTCTGTGCTGGCGTATTTCATGACGGAGTTGATGGAGCTGAGGGTGCTGATGAGCTGCGAATTGAGAGATCCAATCTGGGAGTGGGGCTCCCCAAAGGCTTCTGCCAATTCACTGTAATTTTCAGCAAGCAGCATCTGCTGTTCCTGCAGCAGCTTCTGCACACGCTCGATATAGTGATCCAAGCCTGTCCTCAGCTCATGTGGAGGCAGAGGGCTTTCCAACAGACCACTAACTGGTTCGCACACAGACTCCCCACCAACACCAATGCTCCTGGTGCCAGGCGGCACAACTGGCAATGGAGGGGGTCCGCAGGCAATGCTCCTCATTTTAAGACCAACCAGGTAGTTCTCATGAACATTTATCTGCCCAACACCACAATCTTTGGTTTTTACTGCAGAGGGCTTTTCAGAGCCAGGGTGGCCAGAGAGCAAGGTGCCTACTCCTACCGAACGCGTTTTAGCAGACGCGTGTATGTCCTTCACCCGGCCATCTCCTACTGCCACGCTCCGTGTCTCCATGCTCTCTGTGTTGGTCTGTTTATCGCAGCTGCTCAGAGCAGTGTTTGTCCCGCAGTCTGCCAGGGAGGCTACCTCCGTGCTGGTGCACCGACTCACCATCTCCAAAGCAGTGCTGGTTTCCTGGCTAGCCATAGAAGGCGCAGCCATCACTGTCGCCTCCATACTGAGCACAGCTTCTGTGGCCGTTTCACGGGACACATGCTCCTTGGGAGTGCAAACCACCACGTCCACCGAGCAATCCCCACAGCCCACAGACGTCACCGCTGCGGCTGCCTGTGCCAGCCCGCGGGGACTCGGCACGCGCCGCCCCCCGGGCCCCGCCCCGCGGGGCCTCGGCACGTCTGCCCGCTCCTCTGTGTTGATGCCGGTCTCACAGACTCTTGTCTCTACACCCACCCCCTTATCACGCAGCTCAACAGAGCTCCCCGTGCCCTGGTCTCGCACCTCTGCCCTCTCCCTCACCAGCCACTGGCTCATCAGGAGCTCGGGGCCTGCAGCCACGCTCTGCACGGCAGGTCTGCAGGAGGTGCCGATGCTGCTCGTCTGAAGGTGGTTTCCCACTGATGAATCGACAAAGTCCACGTGGTCTCCCACCATTTGGTCTCTTGTTTGTACAATGGCCTCCACCATCCTGCTGCTGACACGGGGCTGAGCCATCATGGCTTTATCCACTTTTTTCCTAGACCCAGCCGCCTGCAGCTCCTGTTTTAATTTGGTCATTTCCCTGTCATGGGTCGTTTCCTTTAACTGAACCTCTAGCCTGTATATCTTCTCCTTAAGGGCTTCAATGGTCTGCTGCTGAAGCTCTATCTCCTTCTCGACCTCCGTAGACAAGCCAAGCATAGCCTCTGTCACCCCAACCCCACACTCTCTCATTTCTTTCTCTGTCCCCACAGCTACTTCTTTGTGTTGCCTTGCAGATCTGTTGTATATAACCACATCATTCATGTTCTCATCAGCACCTACAGCAACAGATCGGGCTTCTTTTGTCAGGCTTTCTCTGTTAACCTCAAGGTTTGCTGGACTTTCATAGTTGCTATCCTGGATTTTTTTCTCCAGAGCTTGCATCTCGGCAGTCAGCTGCCTGAACTCCTCTATCCTTTGAGAGCTCTGCTCCACACTCTCCACCTCTTCCTCACAATCTATATACAGTTCTCCACCTCTTCTCACCTGAGACATGTGCTCCCACTGCTCTGCATTTCCTGCACTGTAGGATCGCTTTCTGAAACCATATGTGTCATTCTGACTGGCTTTCCTCTGGTTTTTGAGTTCAGCCATCATGTGCCTCTTCTCTTCCTGTAACACTGAAATTTTGACCTGCAGCACAGGAATGGTCTTGACTTGCTCCTCGAGCTCCTTAAGTCGCTTGAGGGCAACTGCCATTTGCTCCCTGATGTGCTGCAGATGCACTGGGCTCACATTGGTGACCGGTGTGGATATGCCTGAGCTCATGGGGCTGTGGCGAATGGAACTGCCCAAAGAGGAGCTGAAGCAGGCACCGTAGTCACCGTTCCCCTGATACCCATTCTGCAACTGCTGAGACATGTGACCGTACCCGCTGGATCCCACAAAAGAGGGGAGGGAGCTTGTGGAGCCCATGCCTCCAAAGCTGGAAAGCCGGGGCCTGCGGACATCTCCAGGTATGACCTGCATCATCCTTTCCTGTTCAAGTCGCCGCCGTGTTTCCATGAGGGTTTTTGTTACAAGGAGGTTATGCCGAGGAGGCTGGGGGGAGGGAGGAGGAAGCTGCTTAATGTCAGGAACAGTTAAGTAGGAAGGAGATGCTTCAAAGGAAACTGAGGGTCTTGCAGCAACAGGAAAGGTTACTTGACGCTTTGCTGTCAAACAAGACTGCTTGTTCTCATCACTATTTGATGAAGAAAGAGACTCCGTGGAGGTCCAGCCACTGCACTGGCCACCAGAGTTCTTGGTACCTGCCAAGGCTGGTATAGCTTTCCTCTTCTTCCGGATGTTCAGTTTCTTAATGGTATTCCCCTTTTGTATATCATCCACGTACTTCAGAAAATCCAAGTCTAGCTGGTAACCATAAGGTGTTTCCACAAAATAGGGGTCCTTCCGTTCTTTTTCATCTTCTCCATTTATAACAACTTCCTCTTTTTCTGGAAAAGAAAGCATAAAAATCATCATTGGAAAAGAAACTATGTCTCAGTAAACTCCATGCTGAAACACAAACACAGAAAGATGGGTGCTTATAGAGAGCCAGAGGCAGAAACTGCTGCTGCAGCTCAGCAAGCAGACCAGCTTTCTGCTGACACTAAATCCCGATCAACTTAAAAAGTTAATCAGTAGGTTTTCAAACGATGAGAAGTGTATACCCTCGAAAACGTGTCCACAAGCATACACAGAGAATGGATCTGTCAGCAAAGGGGCACACAAGTGGCACAGCTAGTAACTCATAGCTGTCCTTCCCCGAATCTCTCCCCTCTTCTGTGTCACACCAAGCTTTCACACACACTATGCCGGCACATAAAGACCACAGGATTACAACGTACCACATATATCATCCAGAGACCAAGTTCTCTAGAGGGTGCATTCAAGCAGGCGACGGGAACTCCTACCCTGCTCCTTATGCAACCAATGCCCTTAGACTGTACACAGCTCTGCAGCTGGTTTATGGCGCAGGGAACTGCTGCTACAGGAGCAGCGATGCCAGTTTGCTCTCACCCCAGCTCATGTTACTTCCACCAGCGCCTCTGCCTTTTTCATTCTGAACTGCAGAAAGCCCTCAGCCCCAAGACAGGCAGCAGGATCCCCTTCCAGCGGGACCCCCTTCCAGCGGGGTCCCAAGTCACCTCCCGAGGAGGGAGACTTCGCCGCGCACCTAAGAAAACCCGCCTGCCCTCCAGACACGGCACTCGCCTGTCCGCACAGCAATCTGAACAAAACTCCACCGGATCCGCTGGACTCCCTGGGCTGAGTATTTATACGCAGCGCTGCTATACAACCTGCTCATACCATCCCACTTGAAGGAAGGAAAAGAAACCCAACTGTTGCGGTAAGCTGGAAGAATAATAAGAGCCAGCTTTCCGGTTACCTGAATTAGCCACATGCCTCTGCCCCCACA